TTGATCTCTGGAATTAAGCAGATCTAGCCACTTTGCTTCTCTCAGATGTGTGGAGGCGGAAATCTCCTTGCCTGGGCAGGGTCACTGAAAGTGCTTTTTGGCTCAGTGGAGCTGCGCTTGACTTCTAAGGTCAAGGTGGTCTAGCCCCTTCAGCTCTCCAAAATAAAAGGCAGGCATCTCCCTTCCTTGGCAGGATTGTTGGGAGTTGGCTCTGAAGATAGGCAGGAAGCTAGGGACTCAGGCTAGATTGTACTTCCCACTGTGTGTGGGTTTTGTTGTTGTTTTTTTAAGATGGAGTCTCACTCTGTTCAGCCCAGGCTGGAGTTGCAGTGGCTCAATCTTGGCACACTGCAACCTCCGCCTCCTGGGTTCAAGTGATTCTCCTGTGTCAGCCTCCCAAGTAGCTGGGATTACAGGCATGAGTCACCATGCCCAGCTAATTTTTGTTTTTTTAGTAGACTGGGTTTCACCATGTTGGCCAGGCTTGTCTCAAACTCCTGACCCCAAGTGATCCACCCACTTTGGCCTCCCAAAGTGCTGTGATTACAGGCATGAGCCACTGCACCCAGCCCCCACTGCGCTGTCAAATGAGATCAGCTCAGCCTTGCAGGTAGGCTGAGTTTGGCCGATATCTTTGATCATGCACCTCAACCAGCAGGAACACAAAGGTACCACCAATATCTGCATGTTGGTCACTACCACCTGTGCTTCTTTTCTGTTTCCACCTGACTCCAGGCAGTCTAGCCATGCTGTTTTCCCTAGAACATCCGATGAGATGAGACCAGAGTGGGTTTCCTAGGAAGCATCTTAGAATGCTAGGGAGGCTGGATCTGGTTTTCTTTCCTCCCTGTATAAACAGTTGGCCTAGATAATTCTCCATCTGGCATTATGTCAACTTGGAGGAAGGGAGGGAGCAATATAGTCAAAGTGAGCCTGTTCTTACCCTTTGAATTCAGATTTCATTCAGCCTTATGGACCACACTATCAGACTAGTTTCTAAGGGTTGGGGTTTTCAAAAAGATGTTCTAGTCTGTGGAGTTGCTAGTTGAACTTTCTATGAAAGCAAGTGAAGCCTGAGACTTCCTACTTTGCCATCTTACTGTTTTTCCACTCTTGCATGGACTTTTTTTTTTCTTTGAGACAGAGTCTTGCTCGGTCACCCAGGCTGGAGTGCAGTGGCAAGATCTCAGCCCACTGCAACCTCGGCCTCCCAGGTTCAAGCATTTCTCCTGCCGCAGCCTCCTGACTAGCTGGGATTACAGATGTACACCACCATGCCCAGCTACTTTTTATTTTCAGTAGAGACAGCATTTCCCCATGTTGGTCAGGCTGGTCTCAAACTCTTGACCTCAGGTGATCTGCCCACCTTGGCCTCCCAAAGTGCTGGGATAACAGGTGTGAGCCACTGCGCCTGGCCTTACATGGGCTTTTTAAACAGTTGGCTAACTAATCTCCTACTTATAGTCCTGTCGACATTGCCCCCATCTCCAAACCTATTCTACATACTGATGTCAAAGTTGTCTGAGATAGGATAGTGGTTATCAAACTTCAGCATTCCTAAACATCAACATCACCTGGACAGCTTGTTAAAACAGATTGCTGGGCTCCATGTAGAGTTTCTTACTCAGTAGGTGTGGACTGGGGCTTGAAAATATCCATTTCTAACAAGTTTCCAGTTAAGTGATGCTGATGCTGCTGACCTAGAGATTACTTTGGGAACTAGAACCTGTTGGATCCTAAGTTATTCTCAGCTTAAAATCTTTCATTAGCTGTCTTCTGTCTACAAAAGTTCCAAGACATCTGTGCTTATTTACTTGCAGTACTTATTAAAAGTGTGCTTTATTGGGCTTCACATTCAAGATTCTTAATAGATCTGATATTACATATCTCATACATATTTCTATTACTGAATACCTTTGTGTGACAATTGGTTTACTTGTCTGTCTTCTATTAGTTTATGAACTTGAATATCACTGTCTCTGGCACCCAGTAGTGTTTAGCATATAATTGCCCAGTACATAGAAATATGCCTGGCTAGCTCAGTTAATAAAAACAAAAAATGGCAGAAGAGGTGACAGTGGTGGTAATTGATAGGGACAGGAGAAGGAAAGGAAGACTGGGAATATAAACACAGAATCAGAGTAAATAGAATATTGAGGAATATTGAGGAAAACCTGTTGCACTTATTCCTGTCAACTACCCTCCTCTACTCCTTATTTACCCACCTTAGTCAAGTATCTTCTTTCTTCTTCCAGTATCACAAGTTCACCCAGCTGAACTTCTGCTATACCATGCCTTCCAAAATCATTTTAAATTCCCAACAAAGAATTACAAAAAAAGGTCATTCGTTAATGGTTATGCATTTTTTACCATCACTGAGCAAATATAGGTATCCCTTCTCTTACATGAACTATAATAGGATATCCAGGTAACTATTTATTTTTCTCTCTTCCATGAATGTGGCCCCTACAAAAATAAAACAAAAAACAGCTGAAATATGTAGGAACATATTGAACTAAATGGTCTTATGTCCCTTATGCTGCCATATCTGGAGGTTAGGGTAGGAGGGACTTTGCAATTCCATTAGCCAAAATTAATTTTTATTTATTTCTTATATCCACTCATTTATTTAGCCAAAGTAGCATCTGGTCTTGTGCTATTCCCTTAGGATAGGACCAAGACAGGTCAAGCCAGAAGGGGTATGTCAGTTTATAAGACTGGTCTGTTATCTCTAATCAGGATTATCTGGGTTACTTTTCCAAGCTAGAGCCAAGCTGGGGCCATTTAGATAGGGAAACCTCCGTGCCCATGCCACCCATTTTCCTCTAAGCTGCCGAGTAATCTCATCAAAATGTTTGCTGCCAAGAGAAGTGTATTTTCAAGGTCCAAAGGAAAGAACAGAGAGATGGCATATTCCCTACCTTTCCCACCCCTCCCTCAAGAACCACTATATTTACACTGAACTACTTTAAAAAGCAACTAACCTAATATACTTACTTTCTTGCTATTCTTCCAATATACCAAATTGTCCCTACCTCAAGGCACTGCCCTTGCTGCTACTGTAACATAGAATTTTCCCCAAAGCTATTTATATGACTCAGTCTTGCTTTTTCTTTGCTCAAAATCATCTCCTCAAAGGTGCCTTCTAGCAGTGCCATTCTTACCACTATTTCCTTGCCCTGATTTCCCTTTATTGCACTTAACACTACTACCAGGAAATGTTATATTATACATAAATTTATTTGCTGTATTTTCTGTACCACCTAACTCCCTCACCTGCATGCATATTGTAAGCTCTGTGCAGGTGGGACCTTTGCATTTCTCATTCACTGCCATATCACCAGGGCCTAATATAGTGCCTGGTGGTTAATATAGATTTGCTGAATGGTTGAGACTCAGACTGACTGCCAAATAATATAACCTAAAAAAAAAGTATAAACATCAAAATATTTAAGGAAACAATTATTAATTTTTTTTTTTTTTTTTTTTTTTTTGAGACGGAGTTTCGCTCTTGTTACCCAGGCTGGAGTGCAATGGCGCAATCTCGGCTCACCGCAACCTCCGTCTCCTGGGTTCAGGCAATTCTCCTGCCTCAGCCTCCTGAGTAGCTGGGATTACAGGCATGTGCCACCATGCCCAGCTAATTTTTGTATTTTTAGTAGAGACGGGGTTTCACCATTTTGACCAGGGTGGTCTCGATCTCTTGACCTCGTGATCCACCAGCCTCGGCCTCCCAAAGTGCTGGGATTACAAGCGTGAGCCACCGCGCCCGGCCAACAATTATTAATTTAAACATAAAACTGGTATTGTGTACCTTGGTTTCATACACACTCCTCAAAATGCTTCCTTTGGTGAAAACCTTTTGGGAACTCTTCTGCAAGAATTGTTTTCAGAGCCAGCTTGTGAACTACATGATTGGTCTTTTTACTTCATCTTTTTGTTTTACCAGAAGTTTCACACTGTAACAAACCAAACTCAGCACAGAAAACATAAGACAATGTATTTTAGATTCTCTAAGAAAACCTCAGAAGTTTAGATGACAAGTGACATCAATGGGCTAAGTATATCACCTTCCATAACTTAAAGGGCTAATACCCATAAACATGGAAAGTTCTGGAGTATGAAATTTAAAACACAAATTTTGGATATAAATTATCTGAATACAAAGCAGTAGGTAATTCTCGTATTTCACTTCCCCTCTTAACTCCAAACATAATGCCATTGTAGGTGGGTTGCTGCTAGACTACATCCAAGATTGTTCAGCTGAGGACTTGCCCATTCTCCCAGTTATGTGGAATTTTCAACCTACTCATACTCTATCTCACATAGCATTTGCACTTAGCTACTCCTACTGATCCAGCCATACATCATCTCCTTCATGAATGTGGGCAGTCTAAAGACTTTCTGTCTTGCAAAGTATTATTTCAAACAACTAAAGGAAAATCTTCGGACACAGAAGTGGAAAAACAGGAAAAGTGGCAGCAAAACCCTGAGCCTCAGGAATAGTAGCTTATTCAAAAGTATATTTACATGTCACAGGGTAAAATAGATCAGCTGAGTCCCTATCTTAGAAAGGAAGCCTACTGCTTCCTCCTAGTAGGCAACAAAGAGAACCCCACCTAGGACTTTAACCCACTCTTTTCCCAATGTATTCCAATACTATTAGGTGAATTAAAAGAGAATGGATGTTGGTAGACAACTCCATTGATCTCTCTTCCTCTTTTTTTTTTTTTTTTTTTTTTTTTTAGTAGAGACAAGGTTTCACCATGTTAGCCAGGCTGGTCTCAAACTCCTAATCTCGTGATCCATGAGGATCCCAAAGTGCAGGGATTACAGGCGTGAGCCACCGCACCCGGCCGATCTCCCTTCCTTTAGTAGTAATTACTAGCCAGCTGAGGGTTACAGATAATGAGGACTGAAAGGAAAGCAGATATACTAAAGGTACTGTGTCAAGTAATACATGAGATGTGTTCATAAACGAATGAGTTATTCCAGAGCCATACAAACAAATCAATCTCTTTACTGGACAGGCATACCTCTCATAAGTATATTATTCAAATATACTAACACATGAAAGATCACATTACCTTGTTTACGGATACATTTAATATCCCTTACCCTTCCCGACTTTCAAAACATAATAGTATACAAAATATAAAATATCTTAAATATTTATAAAAATCACAAGAAAAAAATAGAACGTATGAAAATATTTTTATCTGAGTTCTCTCTCATTGTTGAGAGGCAGCTTAATTTGCCTTGAGTTCATAACTGTTGAGTGGGTAGGAGTATGCCCTGCCTAATACTATTCTGTCCCGGAGAAGTTTAAATAAAACATAGTAGTTGCAGAAAAGGATGAGAGCCATGGACAGTGTGTGGTTCCACTTCTCCGACCGCAGCAAGGAATAAAGCTGGTAGAAGATGACACTGCCCTCAATAAGGATAAGCAGATTTAACAGCCTTAATGGTCGATGAAATAAGAACTGTAAGGAAGTTAAAAAGCAAAACGTTATTTCATAGAAAAGTAATGGCTGTAGTTATTCTTGCATTTATTTTTCTAAAATAATTTAATATTTACAGATTCCCATATATAATAACAAATCTGTTTAATATCAATCAGGATTTCTTGCTGTAAAGATCAAAACCTTTTTCTTTTTGCTCAAGAAATAACGAAATAAATTTTATTTCAATGCCCCTGAAACATGAAAAGAGATTATGCCTAAAAGAAAACTACTTATATTTTTCTTAGATTGTATCTTAGGTATATATTTTATTTAGGATAAGACAAAAGTATATTTATCTAAGACAGAGGTTAGATAAAGGACCAATTAAGAAATATTTTAGGCTTTATAAGTCAAGAGGCAAAATTAAAGACATTATATAGGTACTTATGTAACCATTTAGAAATGTAAAAACCATTCTTGGCTTGTAAACTAAGACATAAATACCAACACTAGACAAATTTTGGGAAAAGAGAGGTTACAAGTTGAATATCAATACAACAGTTTCTTAATTTTTCCTTAAACTGTTTATCCACCATGGTCACTGACTGAAATCCTCTACACCATATACCTGTGCTGTTTAATTACTTATTTTTTTCCTGGATACTGAGAATTAGGGTGCACAAAGACAGGATAAGAAGGAAGGAAGGAAAAATGAGTCAGAATTAGACTAAAAATAGGACTTACTACTGTATTTACTCCCACTAAATTCTCCACTTTAAAAAGCCAAATTCTGGTTTTCTAATACAAAGTTATTATGAATACAGATACAGGTCACAAGTTGCAAAGGAACATTTAACAATTCAGCTTAACCTATCAAATCCTAAATTTAGATGAAGATAAGGGGGTAGTAACAGCAGTAATCAGATCTAAAAGAACTAATTTAGATGGAATTTAGATCTCAGAGCTTATACCTCAGAACAAAGCCAAATTATCATGACAGCTTTAAAAACTTTCCAGGTTCAAGAAAAAGAAAATGTTTAACCTGGAGTTTGACAGCTATAAGTGATAGGCACATTTTAAATGACTGTTCTGAAATTTCAGTGTGCCTAACAATCATTTCCAAATCCACAAATGCTGCAAATTCCTGAGATCATCCAGAGATTCTGGTTCAGAAGTCTGATATAGGGGCCCTGAATCACTTTTTTAAAATAGTGATTTTTAAAAATAGGCTAGGTGATAGGTGATTTCTACATAGGTGGCCCATGGATCACTTCGAGAAGCACTGATTTAACTATCTATCCTATCCTGCAAAATCAGTAATAAATCAACTTGCCTAATCCTTTTCCCTAATCAGGATTCTACCTGATTTTTCCACTGCCCAAAACTAGCAAGGAAAATACTTAATTTTCAAGCAGAAAATTCTAGCGAACTATTTGGCTATCATAGGTCTCAAGGAGACAGCAAGGACCAACAGAAGTCATTAATGGCCTAGAGAATTCGGCTGGCTAAATTAAATATTCTATATAGAAATCAAATGCTCATGTACTTTGAGTCCATTCCTCTACCTAAAGGCAATTCCATTGACGTCAAGGAGGAGATGCTTGTCGTTCTCTCATTCAAGGGCCCTTCACCTTCCCCATGTTCCTCCCAACCTGCCCCATCCTGCATTCCCCAATGATGGTTAACTATAAGCATCATGCCCTGGTGCAAGTTTCCAATATTTAATTGAAGTGTCCCTCAGTAACAAACACCTGCATAACCAGAAAGTCCATGTACCTTCCTTCATCTGGGAAGGACAGAGGAAGATGGGAAGGACAGAGGAAGAAAGAGATGCAAGTATCTTAAAAAAGATCTCCAATTTTTGGCCAGGCGTGGTGGCTCACACCTGTAATCCCAGCACTGTGGGAGGCAGAGGCGGGTGTACCACCTGAGGTCAGGAGTTTGAGATCAGCCTGGCCAACATGGCGAAATCACATCTCTACTAAAAATACAAATATTAGCTGGGTATGGTGGCACATACTTGTAATCCCAGCTACCAGTGGGGGCTGAACCAGGAGGATCACTTGAACCTGAGAAGTGGAGGTTGCAGTGAACCAAGATCGTGCCACTGCACTCCAGCCTAGGCAACAGAGTCAGACTCCATCTCCCAAAAAAAGATCTCCAATTCTTGTTTAGAATATGATCCCCCCTCAAAAAGCAATGCACTGCACTTTGGGCATTTTTACTATAAACAGTCCCCTGTAGGCACCCACATTTCCCCACTCCAATTGGTCAGCTGGGCTTTCTTTTATAAGTACATACTTTTGCCTTGTACAGACAATTTTCTGGAAGGCTGAAAGACCAAATAGATCATAACCAAAGGCATGAGTTCAATGGAACAGAAGCTGAGTTTTGCTTTTTCCTTTTTTAACTTTTAAGCTTTTTCCTTTTCATGGCATTTGTCTGACTTCTAAAGAGGAAACTAAGGCCTTTTAAAGAGACAGTATGTATATATGGCAAATACCTAAAAATGAAACCACCACACTATTAATACTCGTGGATATCACAGATATCACCTGTGGATACACAAATACAATATATCTTAAGAATACCACTAAACCAAACTCTTACAAAATAAAAATGGTAAGATGAAAAAGGAGTCTTAGATAATTGCCTACTTGTTTCGAGTAATACTAGATTCAACAAATACCAATGTAACTAGAGAAACCAGCTAAGCTATTGAAACTGGAATAATTGTATATGACCTTCAAACTGCCCTTCAGAGTACATTTCCAAAGTACAGGGACCACTGTTGTGCTAGCAGCAATAATAACCATGTAATAATTTCCTAGTATGTGTTACACACTATGCTATGCGTTTCCACATGGAGTGGCTTCCTAACACTTACCCCTAAGCTTATGTTTGAAAATAAATAAGCGGTACTTGCATAAAAGCGGGCATGGGATACATCTGAAGGCACTGCCACGTTGTAAGGCCCCATGGCTCTATATAAACATCTGCTGTGCCGCACCAGCACCCCTTGAGGCCATATTGTATTTTCTGACCAACTAAGGGAGAAAGAAATGCAATGTTAGCATATTGGCAATTACAGATAAGATAATATCTGGTAAGGCCAGCTATGTTTTTATGGAAGGAATTAAATACCCAGGGCTTGATCTGCCTGAATTCTGAAAAATACATTAATTCCATGGTCAAGCTGGAGTAGTTTTGGAAAGGATTTGTTACTTTAATTTCATTGCTGTATAGTACACGGAGGTTGCAAAAAAAATACAGTTAACTCAACGTCAAAGGACTTAAGAGGCTTAAGAAGAATGAGCAGACATAAATGTGTAAGCTAGAAAATAGTGTGTAAGCAGGTGGACTGTCATCTCCATCCCAAGTGAGCAGAGTCTACTGGTAGAAATGCTAGAGGGAACAAACAAGAAAAGAAGGCTGATGGTAATAAGAGTAGTGAAGAAATTAGCACATTGTCAAACTAGAATAACATTTACTGCAGAATTACATCCCAAAAAACTACAGAAAATCAGTTTGCTTATCACACAATTCAAATACCTCACAACTGTAAGAAGGTATACAGTAGAACATAGAGACACACCACACACACAGGCTTTTCACTGCTTTCTTGGTTTATTTTTATATAGGTTTCTCTGGGGGAAAAGAAATTACCAAAGAAGCAGCTTCATTCTTTCCAGCATAATGGAGTTTGGGTGGGGATAGGGATCTTCAGGTTAAGCTTTAAAAAAAAAATCTAAGTTAATTCATCTCTTTCTGATTTTGGAAAGGTTAGTTTCCAAGGATAAGAACTGGGAGGCAGTTTAGATATGTTATTAAAAAAAAAAAAAAAAATTCTAGCACCCTGAACCTTTCCCAGTTCAGAAAATGTTCCACCGGCCTTGCTCACACTTACCAGCATTAAAGTGATGATACACCTCATGGCCATGTGCCATCAGTAGCCTGAAGATGTACAGTACTAGTACTGTGGTTTGTATTTTCAATTTTTATTGAAATCTGTCCTTTGCCCACAGTCGGGTTTCTTTTCAGCCTGGCCCAATCTCTTTCAGTTCCTGGGCTTGAAGGCCTGTGCTAATCTGTATCAGACATCAAGGCAGATAATTGAAGGGAGAACTCTCAGTGGGAGAGGGAAAGGGAAGGTCACCTCAATCCGTCCCACTTAACTAGGGAAAAATTTCTAGGAGTTGAAATTTGTGAAATGTTCAAATTATAAAAGGGGGAAGATGAAGATGGTTTGGGTCTGAAAGAAAAGTATGATGAAGGACTCAGAAGTGACAGAATAAAACAGTCCTAATGTTAGCCATTTTCGATCATAGGGGCAATGTGGAGTAATGACTGATAAGGGGACACAATGAGAAAAATTATTCCAAAGAATTCACAATCAGGCATAGTTCTCAAATACAGGAGAAGCAGGGGAATATTCAGTAGAGAGTTTAGAGGGAAAATAGTAAAAAAGCACAGTCAAGGAAAATTACTAGAACAAAACTGCATGTATTAGAAAGAAAAAATGAGAGAAGCAAATTTCAGGTGTGAGATGCCAACTACTCAGCTGTGGCAATGAAGATGAGAAGACAAATCTTAAAGTCTTCTAAAAAGAAATAAAATATATGACTCTCTGAATTTGAGCAAATGGATAAGGCTGAAAGAGAACTCCAAATACACTGCTTGGGGGACAAATTACACACTGTAAAGGACAGCTGAAAGGTAGAACGCATTTAAGGAGGAGCTGGGGATGGGGTGGAAATGAGTTATTGTCCCTTGTGTTCAGTTTAGCATGATGATAAGCATCCATGTAAGACAAAAATTAAAAATTAAATGTTCAAAGCCAAGAACAAGAATGACATACAAAGCAAATAAACATGATCAGCAGCATGTAGAAAGTGTTACATGGTTTTACCCTCTAGCTTACTCACATGTGCTGTGGAGCATTACTATAGGACCCATGTTCCAGCTTCTGCCACTTGCCCAGGTGAGCAGCTGATTTATGTAGCAAATCACAGTATTTGGATGGCAACAGTTGCGTGGTGAGCATGACAAAAGCATTGATCCACACCATAATGAGGTGCTCGCATGACCAGCGCATGTCATAGTACTGGGTACTCTGGAAGAGATCAGAAGAAAGAAAAATGATCCATGCACTGGTAAAAAGAGGCAGGGATGGGTGCGTGTACATACGCCCTGCAGACAAATGCCACACTGAGTCACACATGCTCTGGTGGTCCTGCTGTCCGTGCAGAAAGTTCAAGAGCAGAGTCCTCCACAATCCTTCAACCTGACTTTCTGGCTGTATGAGTTAGGGCTGGGAGGGAGAGGCAATCATATTTTAAGTGTTTCCTTTCTAGAAGAACTGAGTGTTCTCTGAAGGACCATTCCAGCTGCAGAAGTACTTCTGAATGGATGAAGAAAGGGCACTAAAATGTCCCAAAAGATTTTGGGCCCAAGTGACATCCAGATCATTTTTCTTTTCTACTGAAGTAAATTGAAGTTCAGATAAATGTTAAATTCAAGGAAACTCCTGATAACCATGTTAAAATCAACCACAGTAGGCTGAGTTTTACTAAAACCTTGGTCCTCTCAAGCTACTACATACTGATTCTAAGTACATTTTTATTCTCCCCAAAAAAAAAAAAAAAAAAAAAAAAAAAAAAAAAAGAAAAAGAAAGAAAAGAAAAAAAGAGGGAACCACCACGGGTGCATCACATATATGGAAATACCTATCCGCCAACCAGGAGCGGTATTAGTGCACTCCAGATGCAGCCGAACTCCACCATCCAGGCTGCCAAAGGGGAGACAGAGAAAAGGGGGATTAAACAAGAAATACCCAGTTTATGTAATTCACACACAAATCCAGGGAGCACATAAAAGTAAGATAACCACTTACCTTCACAAAACACAGGGGGAGAAATGCAACATAGTAGGCACTGAAGAGGGAGTTGAAGAGAACCTCCTTGATTCTGTGGTTGAAATCTGCTTTCAGACATTCTACTTCATTGCGAATGAGGTCTGGAGATAAGGGGCAACTGTGGGTGGGGATGGGTGTGGCATTATTAAACTGTTCTTTTAGAGACTCCAGCAACAAGGAGAGAAAGTCTTTGGATTTGGCCAAGCCTCCCACCGTCGAGGCACTTTCCTCTACTGCCTGGTGCTGAACCACATAGTTATAGTCTGTGAGAAGAAGATGAGCTCTACTATCTTGATGAAAACAGCAAAGAGGAACATAAACACCAAACCTGTAAAACATAGTATGAAAATGAGACCAGATACCACCTAAAATCACACCTTATAACTTATGTCAATATAACTTACAACTTATGTCAATAAAATAGTCAGGACCCACAAGAGTAAACATAACTCAAGAGGGACTTTGCTGATTCGTTATCTGGGAAGCTCTTCAATTTCTTTCCATAAAAGCAGTGCACATTCATTGCAGAATATTAAAAACTAACAGAAAATTCACAATGGCAAAACATACATTACCTTGCAATAATCATTATTATAACTGGATGCACATATTTCCAATACAAAGTTTGTAAACCTTATATATAGTAATACATGCTTTTTTCCTTTCACGTTTGGCCTCATACAGTACAAAGTGTTTTGTATCTTGCTGTTTTAACTTTGTATGTGTGCAGGAATGTGTGTATAAATTATTTTCCCTGTATACTATTTTCTCATGTCTAAATAATTTTCTTCAGCAATTTTTTTTTTTTTTTTGAGACAGAGTCTCGCTCTGCCACCCAGGCTGGAGTGCAATGGTGCGGTCTCAGCCCATGGCAACCTCTATCTCCCACGTTCAAGCAATTCTCCTGCCTCAGCCTCCTAAGTAACTGGGATTACAGGTGCCTGCCACCGCACTTGGCTAATTTTTTTTTGTATTTTTAGTAGAGATGGGGTTTCACCATGTTGGCCAGGCTGGTCTTGAACTCTCACCTTGTGATCTGCCCGCCTCAGCCTCCCAAAGTGCTAGGATTACAGGCATGAGCCACCATGCCTGGTCTTCTATAGCAATTTTTAAAGATGCTATAGCATTCTCATACAGATATACCATAATTTACCCATTTCTCTCTTGGTGGAAATTTAGGCTGTTTCTTATTTTCCACTACTATAAATAATGATGTGATAAGGATATTCCTAACACATCTGTGTGTGTTTGGTCATTTTAGTACAGCTTGTCCTTCACCTCAAATGTCCCCTTCTCAGTAGGGAACCCTCCTGCCTCCCTACTATATCACTCATCCCATTCCCACAGGTGACCCTAGTTCTCCTTTCCTGCTTATTTTTCTCCACAGATCTTACCATGTTTATTCAATTTTTAACTTTGGGGTAGTTTTGTTTTCTTTCTTAGTCAATCTTCCTTTCACTACAATTTAAGCTCTATGAACCAGAGATTCAATGTGCTTAATTCACTGCTATAACTTTGGTACCTCAGATAGTGGCTGAAACATACTTTAAGTATGCAATAAATGTTCCATTAATTAATAAAAAAAAAATTCTAGAAGTACCAATGAATTTCCAGAAGTAAAATTACTTGGTTAAAGAAGTGAATATTTTTGAGACTACTGATAACTTCTTATGGTATTCCAACTGTCCCAGATATGTGGGTGAACCCAGCTGAGTCAAGCAAGCCTCCTGACTTCTAACCCCAACAACACGCACAATAAATACACATTGTGGTATGCTTCTATGGTTTTGTGGTTGCTACAGCATTATTGTGGCAATAGATAACTGATATAGTGTAGAATAAAAGAAACTGGAGGCCAGGCGTGGTGGCTCACGCCTGTAATCCCAGCACTTTAGGAGGCCGAGGTGGGTGGATCACTTGAGGTCAGGAGTTCAAGACCAGCCTGACCAACATGGAGAAACCCCGTCTCTACTAAAAATACAAAACATTAGCTGGGCACAGTGACACACGCCTGTAATCCCAGCTACTTGGGAGGCTGAGGTAGGAGAATCGCTTGAACCCAGGAGGCTGAGGTTGCAGTGAGCCGAGATTGTGCCATTGACTCCAGCTTGGGCAACAAAAGCAAAACTCCATCGCAAAAAAAGAAAGAGAAACAAACAAGCAAGAAAGGTAATATCAAAGGCTTACACCATAGAGGGCTTTGTAAGGTAAAGAAAATAATCATTACTTTGGGAGGCCAAGGCGAGCAGATCATGAGGTGAGGAGATCAAGACCATCCTGGCCAACATGGTGAAACCCCATCTCTACTAAAATATAAAAAATTAGCCAGGCATGGTGGCGTATGCCTGTAGTCCCAGCTACTCAGGAGGCTGAGGCATGGGAATTGCTTGAACGCAGGAGGCAGAGGTTGCACTGAGCTGAGATTGTGCCACTGCATTCCAGCCTGGTGACAGAACGAGATTCCATTTCAAAAAAAAAAGGTCGGGGGGAATAATTCATTAAAGATTTTAAAGAGGGATAGTAACATGATTAAGTTTCCCATAGTGAAAATCATTCTAGCTACAATAAAAATGAAATGGAGAAGAATGGATTATCAGAAGACCAGATGAAGGTTTATAATGTAATAGTACAAACTATGAAGAGCAATGGACCAATTCAAGATATACTTAGAAACCACAACTGTTAGACTTTAGACTAATTTACCCTGATGAGAAGCTATTTGAGAACTGAGGGGAAAAAAGATAGAAAAGGGCTTCTTTCTTATTTTAACTGATGAATAAACAAGAAATTAAATATGTAGTTATTGTCATAATCCAGTATTTTAAATTTCTCACACTTAATTTTTAAATTGAAGTTTAGATAAAAGGTAGATTATATAACTTCTTAAAAGTAAAGAAGACAAACACAGGCAGACCTCATTTTATTGCATTTCACTTCATTGTGCTTCCCAGATACTGTATTTCATATAAATGGAAGGTTTGCGGCACCCTGCATCAAACATATCTGGGGGTTTTCCAACGTGCTCACTTTGTATCTCTGTCATATTTTAGTAATTCTCCCAATATTTCAAGCTTTTTCATTACTATTACATCTGCTATGTGATCTGTGATCTTTGATATTACTACTGTAATTGCTTTGGAGCACTACGCAGTGCACCCATATGAGACAGCCAACTTAATGGATAAATGTGTGTTCTCGCTGCTCCACCAATGAGCCATTCCCCCATCTCTCTCCCTCATATCAGGCCTCCCTATTCCCTAAAACACAAAAATACTGAAATTAGGCCAACTAATAATCCTAAACGGACTTCAAGTGTTCAAGTGAAAGGACAGTCACACGTCTCTCACTAAATCAAAACCTAGGTATCATTAAGCTTAGTAAGAAAGCATGTCAAAAGCCCAGACAGGCTGAAAGCTAGGCCTCTTTATGGTAGCTAGCCAGATTGTAAATGCAAAGAAAAAGTTCTTGAAGGAAATTAAAACTGCTACTACAGTGAACATACAAATGGTAAGAAAGCCAAACAGTCTCACTGCTGATATGGAGAAAGTTTGCTGATACGGTCTGACAGATCAAAACAGCCATAACATTGCCCTAAAGCAAAGCCTAATCCAGAGCAAAGCCCAAACTCTTTTCGAGTCTATGAAGCTTGAGAGGTGAGAAAGCTATAGAAGAAAAGTCGGAAGGTAGCTGCGGTTAGTTCATGAGGTTTAAGGAAAGAAGCTGTCCCATAATATATAAAAGCACAAGGTGAAACAGCAAGTGTGAATGTAACAACTATAGCAAGTTATCCAGAAGACCTAGCTAAGATCACCGATGAAGGTGGCTAAACTAAACAACAGACTTTTCAATGGTGACAAAACAGCCTTACACTGTATTGGAAGAAGATGCCATCTAGACTTCCATACCTAGAGAGAAGAAGTCAATGCCTGGCTTCAAAGTTTCCAAACGATAAGCTGACTCTCTTGTTAGGGTCTAACGCAGCTAGTGACTTTAAGTGGCAGCCAATGCTTATTTACCATTCTAAAAATCCTACCACCCTTAACAATTATGCTAAATCTACTCTGTCAGTGCTCTAGAAATAGAACAACATAATGTGGATGACAACACATCTATTTACAGCATGATTTACTGAATAAGCTCACTGTTGAGACCTACTGCTCAGAAAAATACATTCCCTTAAAAATATTACTTAAGACAAGGCTCGGTGGCTCACGCATGTAATCTCAGCACTTTGGGAGACTGAGGCAGGTGGATCACTCCTAAGGTCAGGAGTTTGAGACCAGCCTGGCCAACATAGTGAAACCCCATCTCTACTAAAAATACAAAAAAATTAGCCGGGCGTGCTGGTACGTACCTGTAGTCCCAGCTACTTGGGAGGCTGAGGAAGGACATTCACTTGAACCTGGGAGGCAGAGGTTGCAGTGAGCCAAGATCGCGACACTGCAGTCCAGCCTGGGTGACAGATCAAGACTCAGTCTCAAAAAAAAAATTACTTACTGTTCAGTGACAATGCACCTAGTCACCAAAGGCTCCAATGGAGATGTATCAGCGTTGTTTTTATGCCTGTTAACATAGCGTCCACTCTGCAGCCATGGATCAAAAAGTAGTTCTGATTTTCAAGTCTTAATACATTTTGTAAGGCTATTTCTGCATTAGATAGATTTCTCCAATGGAGGGGGGCAAAGTAAACTAAAAACCATCTGGAAAGAATTCACCATGCTAAATGCCATTGAGAACATTTGTGGTTTATGAGAGGAGGTCAAAATATTAACAAGAACAAATCTAGAAGTTGGTTCCTACCCTCATGGATGACTCTGAGGGGTTCAAGACGTCAATGGAGAAAGTAACTGCAAATGTGGTAGAAAAAGTAAGAAAACTAGAATTAGAAGTGGAGCTTGGACCAGGTGCAGTGGCTCATGCCCATAATCCCAGCATTTTGGGAAGCCAAGGAGGCTAGATCACCTGAGCCTAGGAGTTCAACAACAGCCAAGGCAACAGGGCAAAACCCCACCTCTACAAAAAAAATACAAAAATTAGCCCGGCATGGTGGCATGATCACAGCTCACCACAACATATGCCTCCTGGGCTCAGGTGATCCTCAAGATCAAACTTAAACAGATGAGGAGTTGCTTTTTATGGGTAAGGAAGTCTTTGTTGAGATAAAATCTACTTCTGGTAAAGATGCTGTAAACACTGTTGAAACAACAACAAAGAATTTTGAATATTATATAAACTTAGTTTTTCAGCAGCAGCAAGGTTTAAGACAATTGCCTCCAATGTTGAAAGAAGTTTCACTGTGGGTAAAATATTATTTATCAAACACATCACATACTACAGAGAAATGTTTCATGAAGGGAAGTATGTGGCAAACTTCCCTGTTGTGTTATTTTAAGAAAGTGACAAAGCTGTCCCAACTTCAGCAACCACCACCCTGATCAGTCAGCAGCCATCAACACTGAAGCAAGACTCTCTACCAGCAATACGTTTACAACTCACTGAAGGCTCAAATGCTTATCAGCATTTTTTAGCAATCAAGTATTTTTTAATTAAGATAAGTACTTTTCAAAGACATAATGCTATTGCACACTTAATAGACTATAGATAGCATAAGGCTGGCCATGGCTCACATCTATAATTCCAGCACTTTGGGAGGCCAAGGCAAGAGGATCACTTGAGCCCAGGAGTTCAAGACCGGCCTGGGCAACAAAATACCTGATCTCTACAAAAAAAAAAAAAAATTTAAATTAGCCAGGCATGCTGGCACACACCTACAGTCTGTCCCAGTATCCTAGAATTGCTTGAGCCCAGGAGGGCAAGGCTGCAGTGAGCTGTGATTGTGCCACTGCATGCCAGCCTGGGTGACAGAGCAAGACCCTGTGTCAAAAATAAAATAAAATAGACTACAGTATAGTGTACATGTAACTTTCACACGCACTAAGAAATCGAAAAATTGACATGACTTGCTTTATTGATATATTCACTTTATTGCAGCAGTCTGGAACAAAACTCACATTATCTCTGAGGTACACTTGTATGTTTAAAATGTATTTAAATTACATAATTATTTCATTGTTTTATGGGGTATAGAGAATCTCTAAGAATAAGTAAGTTTCTTTATATACCTAAATTGAAACAGAAAAGTTTGCTAGCCAACTTGATGATGGGAATCCTCTTAAACTTGGCCAAAATATTTTTCAATATATCCATAATTTGCCTTTCAAATCAGATTGGTTAATCTTCTGAATCAACCAGTAAGAAGAATGACTAAAAATGTGTTTTCAATTAAAATAGCTGAAACATTAATCTATAAATATAGACACAATTTATGCAAAATATATTCCTTATATGAAATCTGAGTCATGAAAAATGTTGGTAACAGATAATTCATTTTGTAGAAAACAAGGGTAATATTAATGAATTCAGTCGCAGTCTACGAGTGCTTTAAATAACTGTTTAAACAATGTAATCAGACCTACCATAGTATGACCAATACTCTTCCTGCCATCCTTAGCACAATCTCTGATTATGGCTTGATTTTATACTTTGCAATTACACACATAAATTCACACTAACATTTCAGCACCATAAATAATACAAAGCAATAATTCTCTAACTTGAGCATGCATCAGAATCACCTCAACAGCTTGTTAAAATACAACTTGCTAGGTCCTACTTTCCAGTTTCTATTTCAGTAGGTTTGGGGTAGATTCTGAGAATTTCTATTTCTAAAAAATTTAAAGGTACTGATGCTGCTGTTCTAGAAACTACATTTTGAGAACTACTGACATGGTAATGATTAAGACAAGGACTCTGGAATCAAAAAA